GGCCACCTTCTGGTATTGCTCGTTCTTTCCGTATTCTATCACATCTTCCCCCGTTATGCTTCCGGAATCAACCTGGATGCTATGCTTGGCCTAGCAAACCAGTTTTTTTTGTGCTGGTCGGTTTAGTCTTTCGTCAAAGTGCTCGATATTGGTGGCGCTAACTGAGTTTTCACTCCCTGTATTGCTAAGTTGCGATTGATTTATGCTTATTGTATCTGATATATTGTTTATTTGGTACTTAGTTTGTAACCGAAATTGCTTAAGAACAAACTGATAAAATTGATTTTTGACCGAGTGATAACATTTGGTCACTCACAGAGAATTTTTATGCTCAGGATTTTTTATTTTCTCAGCCTCCGACTGATCGGACCGGCCAGACTGATTTCTACCGCATTCCTTAAGTTCTGGAAATTCGATAATTACAAGTTTACCCCATCCCTTTTTGAACCAGTTTTTTTCGAAATACCATTTCGGAACAGGCCGTGAAGAGTGTTGATAAGGAGTTACCCCTCTTACACTTTTTTCTGATTCTTCTCATACCTGTTCTTTGTTCCCATCCCCTTCCATCCTTTCCTTCTTGCTTTATAAAATCCAAAAGGAAGTGTTTTTATTGATAACTGCAAGAGTTCTTTGTATCTTCCTGCGCAAAACACCAAAAATACCAAAAAACAAATAAACAATATGCTTATGTCAGCAAATAATGGTCATGACATTCAAGAACTACGCAATTTCGCTAAGTTAAAAATCGGCGAATGGGAGATAGCAGTAGATGGCGCAGCAGATTATGATAAGCCAACCGAGTTTTTTTGGTACATAAATCGTCTGAGACGTTAACATACTTGCCTTTTTCTGGACTGGAAGCAAGCATGGGCCAAAACAAGCGGAAAAACAATTCCTTGACAACTTTTTCGATTCAAGTTAAAACCGATTTAACTGTAATAAAGTAGGAGATAAGGGATCACGTGTGAGAAGACATTCTAATGATCGCAGTCTAGGCCTTTTTGAAAACGGCGAGGAAACTGCCAGCCGCGTTGATGGCAAAAATCATGGTACTGTTCATAATAACGAAGTGCTGGCTCCCAGTACCATTAGGAATCCCTGAAATTTCTCCTGGAACGGGAAAACGGGGGTTTTGTTAATTGGACCTAGTCATGGAGCTTCTGGAAAATCCGGATCAGTTTTATCACACTTGGTCTGTTGGATCTAAGTTGGTTTTATCAGTTGGCTTCCTGGATTTGAAGCAAAATTATCTGTGGAGGAGTTGGCGTGATTGGGCGATGGTGGTAGGTGGGGTTCCCAGATGCAGCTGCTGGGTATGAATAGGGGTAGGGCAGA